TTTTATTCACTTATTGCGCAACAATTTTCCCTGAAATATGACCATTTCTCTGTTTTAATGACTGTCTATCTACAAGTTTTCTACTCAATAAGAAAAAAAAAGACTTTCTCTCCGCAAAATATGTTTCTATTTGTTTTCAAACTTTCTAAAACTTGAGAGAAAGTTGTTCATCATTTGACCCGAATTGAGTCCATATTATTTACAAAGTGAATGCGAAAGTCTCCAATTCCATTTAATCATTAAGTTTGTATGTAAGAGTGGATCTGGTTTCAGGGATTATTTCAGCCTTCCACTCTTCACAACAACAACAAAAACTGTGTATGTATCTGCCTTGTGTTCAGGTTTACTGTACTTTGCTTTCACCACACCCACAGCTTTCACTTCACTCGCTCTCTTACACAAATTCGCTGTCTTCTTCTTCATCTTCTTCTTCTTGTCCATCTGCCCACACATTTTTGAGCTAAACATCCCCGTCTCTCTGGAGGGGAAAGAGTCTTCTTCTTCTTTCTCCTCTTGTGAAATCCGATTCCTAAGAAGAAAAAAAACTTTAAGAGAAATCTCAGCAAAAAAAATGTGTCGTGTGGAAAAATAAATTGTTGACGAAGAGAAAAAAAGAAGATGAATATGCATTTTTTTCATGAAATGAAAAGACTTTAAATTATTCTAATTCAAGGAAGTACTAATTTTGCTCTGTTATTTTTTCTCGGATAATTTAAATAAGTACAGTACACTTATTAAGTAGCTTCAGCTACTTTATGTGAAGACTTTGTCTGTCTGTCTGTCTGTCTGTCTGTCTGTCTGTCTGTCTGTCTGTCCGTCTGTCTGTCAGCAGGATATCAGGAGAACGGATCGAGATAATCGAAATCGGTTTTCGCCATCATACATAGGACCCCAGGGGGAGGATCCTATCAACTTTTGGGGGCAACCGGACCACACCCCCTTTGGCGACAGGGGGTGTGGTCGGGGCAAAATGAGATTTTTAGTGCAATTTAATCTATAGGTGAAATAGAGTAAAATTATGTGTTCCGGAGTTGTGCCACACCCCCTCGGCGCCAGGGGGTGTGGTTGGGGCAAAATGAGATTTTTAGTGCAATTTAATCTATGGGTAAAATTAGGTGAAATTGAGTGAAATTAAATGAAATTAAGTGAAATTAAGTGAAATTAAGTGCTTCCCCGATTGTGCCACACCCCCTCGGCCCCAGGGGGTGTGGTTGGGGCAAAATGAGATTTTTATAAAAAATTAATCTATAGGTGAAATAGAGTGAAATTAAGTGTTCCCGAGTTGTGGTGGGACCGTTTGGGGTGAAGTACGTCTGAAGCTACTTCCGTATGCGCGTTTGCGACGGTTTATTTCCGTATGAAATTGTTGGTTAGGGTTTTCTTCATGATCAAAATTACACCTCAGGTAGTAAAAGGTTGCTGATAAAATTGTTAACGAGCATGAAAAATTTTTCATGCAAAATTTTTTCATGAAAAGACTTTAAATTATTAGAATTCAAGGAAATACTAATTTTCCTCTTGTTTATTTTCTGATCACCCTGCAATTTATTTTCTGATTGCTTATGAAATTGTTGGTTATCATATTAGAAACTAGCAGACCTCAGGTAGTAAAAGGTTGTTGGTCGGTCGGTGGGTCGTAATTTGGCTGATTGGGGATGATGAATAGTGCCAAATTAACCGGAAGGGATAGCATTATCCCCTCCCGCCCACGCGTCCTCCTAACCAACGCCACCACCTGGGCAGCCAGTGGTACATAATCCATCACAAAAATGAGTAGACCGGCCAAAAGGAGTTGTCTTTTTTCACAATATATACTTCAACTTTCTTGATGATTTGATACCCCGTTGGGATAAAAAATTTCGAAAATAAGTAAATAAATATGTGGCCGGATGTCCATATTCGCAATCACTCGTACGCACACGCTGACTCACTGAATATGCATGAAAGGAAACTAATTTTCCTAAATTATAGTCTCTGCTCTGAATAGAACGTAATTTTCCCTAAACAAGGCAATCACCCATTTATGACTCATTCATACTCGTCCTCACTTCAGCAGGATTTCAAACATTCCGTCAAGCACCTAATTCACCATTTTCATTAAACTAACTCTTTTGTGCAGCTTGACATTGTGCACATGTAATTACGTGCGACGGAGAAAGTTACGTATTTTCATGAAAGGAGACGTAACTAGGGCGGAAAAATGTCTACATTTGGAAAAGTTTTTTTCTCCTTTTTCCGGAATCCTTTCACTTCTGTACACGTGGGTGGATCGACTTGAATGCAGATTTTTTTGCGTTTTATTGTCTTTTTTTGCGACAGGGAGAGAATGCAAGTGGATGTTCTGTTCTGTTAAGTCGAGATAAATATGTACACAAACAACTCTCGAGCATCATCCTCTTCAAATTTGCGGGGGCTGGAGAAATCTAATGAAATTTGTTAATTACATATCTATTTACTGCTACACCACCTCCATTATGGTTTTGGTTTTGTTCTTGTTCTCCCACTGATTAATTGACAATGGATGAAATTCATGCCTCACTCACCACATTTCACGATTGACTTATAATACCTTCAATTGCATACAACAAAGTGCAACGTATGTACATGCGATCTTCGCACCGACATAATTACTGAATGCCTTTATTATTACGCTGCTTTGAAACGTTTGATGCCAGATTATTTGACACTTAAAAGCCCGTAACGTTGCCTTGGTGCAGGCTTTTGATGTTCACCAACAACCCACGCGCACATCGTCATCCTGATTTAATTGCTCCTTCAGGCAAAGTCAGTGGGTGGTTCGGTCGGTATTCGATTTGATTAAGCTCCACGTGCCTTTCTCCAGAATCAAAAACGCAATTTACTTTTCGACGTATGATAGCATTGTGTGGTGACACGTTTAACGATTTAATTTGATTGGTGATGGTGAGGTGACATGTGAGAAGGTGATGGGTGCTTTAATGGTGGGCATGAAATAATGTGTACGGCGTCCCCAGGGGAGCGGAGGACATTGTGTGTAGTGTATGTACAAGTGGAATATTTTATTACTTCCTGGTACTTTCTTCGTTATAAAAGAGTTGTGTGTGGGTGGGTGGCAGAGGTGGGCAAAATATGGACAGGATGTTGAGCAGGGTTTGGATTTCGGGGGCTGTTATACCCACAAAAAGAGGAAAATCTATGGGGAGAAGGCAGCAGTCTTAAGAAAATTCAGGTTTTGTGAAGAAATTGACATTTTATCGCTGAAAAATAGTATATTTTTAAAAAAATCGTGAGAACAATATATTTTGACAACGATAAAAAGTTAATTTCTTCAGAAAACCCGTATTTTCGACTGGCTGCTGCGTTCTCTACGTAGATTTTCGCCTTTTTGTGGGTATAACACCCCCGGAAATCCAAACCCTGGACGAAGAACCAAGCTCAAAATACTGTAAATATTTTGCCCACCTCTGGTGGGTGGACTGGACATACACATGTACAAACACTGCATGGAGGTAGACAATGCATATGTAAATATGTAGCGAGGTCATAGATACGTACATAACATGCACGTATGGGTCCGTGCTTGCTAACAAATTCTAATTAGACAAAGCTCTCTCTTTCTTTTATCTTTCTGGCAGCTCTAATTTTATGAATGAAGTGGGTTAGCTACATACACGAACAGGACGTGTGTGGGTGTGGGTATCCATCCAATCCAGTGGGCCAATCTCAATAATAATTTAATATAATAAAACCCACCACCACCACCACAGACAGGGTTATACCATCGTCAGCGTTCTTGTAATATACAGCCCAGGAGGGATATATATCCATAAATATAGTCCGTAAATATGAAGGCGGAGAAAGTACATACATATTTCCATCCATTGTTCTTGGTTGCCTATTAAGTCTGCCAAAAATCGCGTAGGTTGGTCGAACTGGAACCCGTTGGGTGATTTGGCGTATAATTTTAAGCTGAAATTTCCAAAATCGCGTAGGTTGCTCCAACCTTGAATGATTTGTTAACTTTAAAGTACAAAAGGGCTAAATTTTCGGATGAAATTTCAAAAATCGCGTAGGTTGAGCTAGTCGATTTCGAACTCGTTGGATGATTTGTTAACTTTAAAGGGACGTAATTTTCAACCGAAATTTCCCAAATCGCGTGGGTTGCCTGAACTTGAACTTGTTCGATGATTTGTTCAGTTTAAGGTTTAAAAGCGCATAATTTTCGTCCGAAATTGTACTTTTGTCCTTGTTTTCTCTGTAGTTTGAAAATTAGTGGTCATTACTAGGCATAACCGAATGGGCGGATGTATGCCCTATTACTATTATCTTCTGCTTGGACTTATGTATGAATTATTGCCTAACAAAAAAAATTTGGTTAGAACTCCCCGAATGCATATCTGAGTGGATTATATAGATTGGATTTATACCAAATGTCACTTTTAGCATGTACCAGGAGAGGCTCGAGTCTAATTCGTGTCAAGGTTTTCGGACGACGCGGAGGAATCTCTTGATTGCATTCCTCCCTTCATTTCCTCTCGGCTCAGGGGACGTTCATTAATTATGTACGTAACGCATGAGGGGGAAGGGAAGTCTAATAAGGCTCCAATATGATGTATATCGTGTCTATGTGACACATGTTAAAGGGGTGTCTAAAAAATCGCGACTTTTGCCTTACATAATTTATGAACGGTCCCCAAATATTATTGAACTAGGCTTGGCGTTACATGTAGCGGAATTCGGAAATATAGCAATTCTCCACGGAATTATTCAAAACTTTGCCCTCAAACTAAATATGTAGCCATGTTTCGTCATGATGATGATTATTCCCTCGCGGTTTGGGGAGATTGGTCTCTTTACTAATTAATTGGATTGCTATAGGCTAGACTTTGATAATGGATTTACTTATTTATTTATTTACCTGCATATTTCTAGTATTAAATATATACTGCTTAATCTGAGACATATTTATATATGTCAAGGTACATACTAAATTTCACCCAATTTTTTCTTGCTAATTACAGACGAAGGACGTGCCAAAGAAGAAGGCGTTCTGGTCCACTGCTTAGCCGGCATCTCACGCTCCGTCACGATTACGATGGCTTATCTCATGTATAAGGTGAGGACTTACCTAATAAATATATAATGGAGGTCTCCCAGCGAATGCTCTCGGATTTTGGGAAAATCGATCATAAATCGTGACATAAAGTCGACAAATGCTACAATTTCAAAATTTACTGGGCGTTTTCTCCTCTTCAGATGCAAATATCTCGGCCAAACGTGCCCATTGGGAGATCGCGTACTTTGCAAATTTCATATAAATTAAATTTCTGATCGATTGACGCCAAGTTTTTCAAAATCTGACACCATCCGCTGGGCCACCTCCATTATCAAAAATCATCAAATTTTTACCTTAACCAAAACCTAACTTTCTCCTTCATCTTATCCACAGATGAGCCTCTCCCTGAACGAAGCGTACGACATCGTTCGCGCCAAGAAGGCCAACATTTCACCAAATTTCCACTTTATGGGCCAACTCCTCGATTTCGAGAGGCAACTTCATTCCCAATTCCTCAGCCCACCCGCCCTCGGATCCAGCCCCGATTCCGGCATCGAGTTCGACCGCTGGCAATCCAATTGATGCCAACTGATGAAGGGTCTCCTTGCCAAAAAGAGACACCACCACCCCGTCCCCTGAAATCTGAAAAAAATCAAAAAATACCCCCCCCTCAAAATTTCGAAAAACCTAAAATTTATTATGATGAGCGCGGATTATTTATCTATTCCACAATATAATCAATATCTGCTGCTGCCAATGTACTCCAAGAAAAGAAAAACTATAATGCCAAATCTTAATTTACATACATACAAATGTTAATTAATTATTATAAACAAATGTCTATTTATCCTTGTTACTTTTTAACCTATATACAAACGTATGTACAACAATTCATTTCAATACCATCCGTGTAATCCCAGTCCTCACACGTTTATTAAGTAGTTCTTAATATTATATTACAATCAGTAAGAGAGAAATATCAAAGTTAACATGTTGGCAAATAATTTTTAACAATAATTAATTAAATATTTATGTAATTAAATATATATATATAATTAAATATCCAGATTAATTAATTAAATGGAAAATTATTCTCTTTGTCGTCGTCACCGTCGTCGTATTTAGTTAGTTGGTTGGTCGTAATAGTTAGTTAGAAGAAAATATATATATTGATGTTTTTTCGCAGTGGCCGCGGAAGCCGTGGGGACATGGGGGGACATTAATATTGTAGGATGGGGGGAGGGAGGGGTTTGTATAAGATGGGGAGATGTTGGGGACATTGTCCCTCTTTTGTCCCCACACTTCCGCGGCCCCTGGTTTTTCCGATATGCTGACTGGGCTCAGGATTAAATGCAGAATGGTTGACCAGTTATATGTAAAAAAAAGTGTTGGATTAATTAGTGTCGAGAATGGGTTTGGATTTGGATTTTTGTGATGTTTTTAATTTACAAAGTCTTTCAAGTTTTTTAATTATGGTGAAATTTTAATTATTGCTTAATCGTTATGTCAGCTTATTTTTCGTGCAGCATATCCATTTGTTACACAATTTTTGGTTTTATTCATGTTAAATGGTACAAGATTTTGTTATTTAATTATTTTGTCCTCCAAAAATTACACACTTAAAGATGCATTAAGTGCTAACTGATTTTTTGGAAATGCAACGGCCAACAAATCACTTAGCACATAATGCACCTTGAAAAACGCTATTTAATTTACTATATAAAACAAAACGTCCTTTTAAAGTTCAAATTGAAGCAGCAATTATAAAATAACCTGCAGCCATACTAATTTCCAAAACACTTAGAAAAAAGTCTTGTTTTACGTCATTCCTCAATCCCCCAGAATATTTACAATTTAGTTTTTATTATGAGTAAAAAGTGTGTAAATTTTTTAGTTTTTAGTTAAAAAAAATGAAACATTCGAAATTTATAGAATCGAGATCACGATCATTCTCTACTTAAAAACAATCTCGTTAAAACGAATTTGCTTTAAATTTGCACCGGTTTAAATACATATATATTTTTAATTTTAGTTAGTTAAATTTATTTATTTATAATGTTCCCATATCTTAATTTACATAATATGAGTCTTACCGAGCTCGAGTTAACCACTCAAAAACAATTAAACTAACTGCCTTTATTTATTTTGCCAGTTTTTTTCATTTACATATATAAAAGAAGTACCTATTTAAATATTATAAATTTTACCATTTTATGTAATGGCAAACTTGTGTGATTCCTTCTCAGAATATGGATTTGATCTTTGATTGTGATTGTATTAGTATGGAAAATTGTGAGAAAAAATCTCTTAAAGTTTTAACCTAGGACTGGACAACCCTTCACCAAAAATGTCAAAATCGTCACATTTTTAATCATTTTTCCCCTCTGGGAACTTATTTTAAAATTCTGAACAACAAATTTGTAGTCAGTGAGTTGATTAATGAAATGACTTTGAGCCAGTTTCGACGAGGTCCAATTTTTCTGAAGGCTTCTTAACCTTGAGATCTCCTCCTTCAAAAAGTGTCAAAATCTGGAGTGTATATTTCCAAAAAATTTGCATCCTCTTCCTCTACAAATTTATTGTTCAGAATTTTAAAATAAATTCCCAGAGCCGATAAATTATTAAAAATGTGACGATTTTCAGTCCTATGTTAAGTAAAAACAATCTTCTTATTTCTTATCCAATACTAAAAAAAGAGAGAAAAATTATTACGTAACTATTACTTTTTGACAATCCATATAAAAATTCCCAGAATTTTTTCTACCAATTCTACATTACGTTAAAAATTTCTTTCTAATGACCGATGCAAAAAAAATGATCAAAGAAATGAAATGAAATGACTGTTGTACTATTTGTGACTGTTTACCATTTACCTAAAAGAAAAAAACCTACCCGTTAAAAATGAAATGAAATTAGGAGAGCTAAATAACTACAAATTAACTGAGGATTAACGTACAAGTGAGAAAGAAAAATACATGTATTTTATGTATCACTAGTTAATAGTTGACTAGTTTGTATACGTGATGATATTTGATAATCATGTCACTTTTTCGAAAAATCCAAACTTCATAATTTCCAAAAAATTGATAATCAATCATTTAATCGTCGTTGTTGTTACCTATTTACCATTCATAAATCAATCAAAGCATTATTGTCAATGCAAGTAATTACTTTGAACAATCCTGTATAATCAGAGAATAATTTACATAAATATATATACGTACTTATTTACATAATTGTCGTAATTAATTATGTAAATGTATTAATCGTAATAATAAATATGGAATAAAACACAGTAAACGTACATATTTGTCGTCTTGTATAAATTATAGCGAGGCAGTTCACGCGGTGTTTGGTAATTTTGTAAAATTCGTAAAATTTGGGTCAAATAATTTTACGAAATAGGAAGGCGCACGTGGTCTTCGTAAATTTGCAAAATTGGGAAGCTAATGTTCCCCGGAAATATGCGGAGTTTGGAAATTTATGGATTTTACAAAGTTACGAAGGACCGCGTGAATTACCTCAGTATTGATAATCACGTATGTAATTTAACTCTATATTTCAATCAAGTACGAAAAGTGATATGTACTGACCCCCCACGTGACGACCCATTGATGTTATATATTGGACTTATTATTGATATTACTCTCTCTACATGGCGTAATTTACATATTTCTGTATGTGCAAGTAGTTCTTTCTCCAGTGAACGAATGAGTCAGACCAATTTCTGAGAATAAAAATGTTGTAATCTAAAAAATATATATATTTCCATGTTTCTATTTTTTCATTTTTACATATTTACATTGTTTTAACAAAACTGTTGGAAATTTGCCTAATTTTCTTCGTAGAATGATGAAAAATACGGAGGGTTTTTCTATTTTTATAGAATTTTGTAATTTTCATTTAAAATTCTGCAGAAAAATTGCATAATTTATGGCGCATTGATTTTCATACGGGATTACCATCTTTGTTATATAATTTCTCGAGACAATGTACAAATTTTTGTTACATCTTGATACTGCGGAAATTTGCATGCAGAATTTTCTAGAAAAATTTGGAAATTTGCGGCACCTCGAATTTTTTTCATATGGGAAGAGCATCTTACTCTCTCTTTATTCAAAATTTTTACGGATTTTCTTTTGTTTGCAACCAATGCGCAATTTTTTACCAATCTGTTACAACGATCATGTCATTACAGCCATTGTATTTGCATTCAATTCACATAAATACATTGCATAACCAGTTTAGCCAAGAAAATTATACCACTAATTAATTATAACAGACAGACCAGAACGGAACGGTGGTCAAGTTTTCATACAAACGCTTTTCTAATTGTAAAATTTGCAAAAAAAGGAACTTGCTTCTAAACATGTTTTTTCCATTTTTTTCTCCATGCAATCTACCGTCAATCATAATATCGGCTTAAAACTGGGCTGCTTTTGCTGGGCATTCCCACCATAAATATATGCAAATCCTCTCCTCCCGGTTAACTAACCATGTCATGATGATGATGCTGATTACAAGATTAATTATAAATATAATTGCAAAATAATATTTTACTGGATGTTCAAGTATGTCAAGCGTGAATCCTCTCCAGAAACTGGTTGTAACTCAGGTAAAAACAAGTTTTTAAAGCATCTCTGGAGAAAAATTCACACATAAATCCAGCCCTATTTAAGTTATCAATCACACATCTTGGATAAAAACATGCGAATTATTAATCTAAATTATTCCATGTATAAATCTTTAAGTATTTACATATATTGCGTACTTCTTACCCGGCTGGTTTTTTGCTTAATTACATCATCTTATAGACAAGGAAAGCTATATAGTATTTAATTTAATATATTTGTTAACTACTCCAGAATGAAAAATGCACAAAATTTTTGCCTTTGTTAGGTCGCCGCCGGGGTATAAATAGAGACGCCACCTTCGCCTCAATCACCACTTGCTAAATTCTTCGCAAAATTGTAAGCATCATGATCGCCCTTCTTTTCGCCACGTTGGCCCTCGCCGCCGTTAACGCCGTCCCGCAACATCGTCCAGCCGCCCTTGGTGCAGGGCCAGGCATTTTGGGGGCTAACACTGTACATATTTACATACATAAACTCTTTACATATTTATTTGCATATTTATGTAAATTTATGCTAAATATATCATCATAAAATGTACGCAGGCCGTCTGGAGCCCGTTCGTCTGTCGGGATGGCGTCATGGGGCCGAACGACGATAGAATGAAGGGCATCGGAGCTTGTGCCAAATCCGTGGCGAATCAAGACGTTAGTATTTTTTAGTAATTTTTTTAGTAGATTTTGAAATTTAGTAGAAAATAGAATTAATTTATTTCAATTTTTATATGTTTTCAGTGCGTCTATTTCTGCCAAGCGGAGGTTTTAGGATTGGTACGTGTTAAAATAATTGCTAACTTGCGCCGCAGTTGAAGCTATAACAAATGAGTCAAGCCTTATTAAAGAGTTAAAAAAATAACTGTATCTTTTCCTATTTATTCAAATTAATTAGTTGGACACTGCTGGACTTCCACGAACTGAAATTTATGACAAGTGGGTAGAAGTCGTCTTTCCAGAGAGGCATCATGCCGTTGGAAAAGCCTGGTTTAGAGATTGCTACCAGAAATATGGTAAATTTTTGATACAATTCAAAATTTTAAATTTTAATCTCTGAAGACAAAATTTTAGTGTTTAAGTAATTAATCAATTTTGCAGGAAAATTCATCGACAAATCTGACCAATCTTGCAAACACGCCAAACTTTTTGGTGACTGCACCTGGTCAATCCAGCCACAATTGGTATTTACATCAATTTTAACAGATCTATTTCCCCCTAAAATGTAATATTGCGAAAAAAAATTAGCAACATTTCCTCCTCATCTTTTTGCAGACTTGCCCAAAGGCTTAAGACAATCTCGGGGATAAATTTGCATATGTACCCCACCGGTTTAACCAGACCAGTTTAATTATCCTCAAAATTTATCTTCATTTCAAAATAGATAAATAAGATTACAAAATTTTGAACCCTGCTCAATTTCATGCACATATTTTAAACACATCTCATTTATATCTCACTTGTCATACTGTACTTGATTTGCACCCGTTATTATTATTATTATCGCATCCTCGTGCTAGGCAAAGTGACCTGAGAAAAAGTTGCACAATTTGCGAATTTATACATACATTCGTCTGCATACCGTTACGATGCAAAAATCGTATTTGCAACAAAGAAAAGAATCAACGAACTTGTTTTCTTTGCAAATCTTGACATTTGACAAGTAAACTTGCTTCAAAATATATTGCTCCCTAAAACAAAATCCGGTTTTTCATATGATTTTGATTTCCTATAAAAGCTGGGGTTTCTACTTGATAAAAGTTACAACAGTCCGAAAAATAATTCTGCTGCATTTCATTTCAATTTATTCCGTTGGCAAAAAAATGTGCAAAATTTTCGCCCTCGCGTCAGCCCTCGTCGTCGTGGTGGGGGCGACCGCCTTAAATCCGGCAGGGCGTGCAGAAGATGTAGCTGCCATAGACACCGTAAGTATTTAAATAGCTAATCATTTTTTCGTAGATAAGCCTCAGTAGAAATCAGTACCGAATTCTGCAGTAATCGACACGAGCTCGATGCATGCATATTGTATTTGCATAACTTTTTACATATATAATCCTGCGAAAATTTCTACTGGTTTTACTCTGATATGCATAATTTTTCACAAGTTTTCTGCACAAATCGCTCTGCGATGTAGATTTTCTGCAGAAAATTGAGCTAAATTTCTGCAAGAAAGTTGTTGAAATTATTAAACTTTTACAAATTTCAGAGCAAATTCCAACCTTTGACTTGTCGCAATGGAACGTATGGCCCGTCAGATGTACAAGCTGGCAGAATGGCGACGGAATGCACAAACTATGGTGTGGAAGCTGGACAGCAAAATCCAAATGTATTTATTAATTTATCACAAAGAAAGTATTTTTACTAGAAATTTATTTACCTAATTTTTTACTGTTTCTTTTTGTGTATTTTTGTAGTGCGTATACTTCTGCCAGTCAGAAATTTTAGGATTGGTAAGCACAAAACTTTACTAAAATTCTTAATCAAGATAGTTTATTGTAAATGAATGAAAAATGACAGACTGATAGTCTTGAGTTCTTCATTTTCAGAATATGATAACCACTTATCGTGAATATTTTCGTATTCCTAATTAAAATCTATTATTTTTCAATGACATATTTATTATATGTACATAGCTGAACACGGACGGATTACCCTCTCGGATCGGATACGACACCTTCGCCGAGCACACGATTGTCCCAGAATATAGAACAATGGCGATTGACTGGTTTAGGGAATGTTTCGACAAATATGGTACATTCCAAATTTGATAACACCATCAACTTATTTACATAATGCATAAATTTACATAAATATTTAGGTGACCAAATCGATAAGACTGACACCGAATGTAAAGCTGCCGGACAGCTGAACACATGCACGTGGTCGATCCAACCAAAACTGGTAAATTTTGTAGTCGCAAAATTTATAACAACGTTTTTAACATTTATTTTTGAATTCACAGATTTGCTAGAAGTTTGATTGTCAAGAAAACCATTAGTTCTCCACCTTTTTTATACATTTACATAATCCGCATTTCAATTTATTTTATATCTCGTAACGAATAATGATTAATTAATTGATGAAAGGTCGAATAGCAATTAAACGTACGTAATAAATAATAAATTATTTATGTCAAATCGTACGCACAAAAATGGGACGAGGTAACAAAACAAAAAAGTAAATAATAATGCAATAATAATGCATCATTCATTTCATTAAGCAACCCGACCACCCATCTTAAACCTACTTGTAATTAAAATACTTAAGTAATCAACAAATCAAACTGCATCACAGATCACAATCGACTCCATCCATCCATCCATAAGTATTGTCACAAAGTGCAGTAGCAGCAAATATACATACATAAATAACTAATGTCACTTGTATATACACATTTACCTAAATTTCATTGTAGACTTGCCTCCAAGGCTACCACTGATCATTTGCATCTTGTATATTCATTACCAAATCGTACATAAAATAAAAAGGGGTCATGTAATGTCATCATGTAATGTGACGAGGAGAGAGGTGGGGACAATCGTATATAAAGACGCCAACAAAGTGATGCACTTCTTCACAAATAACAACTGTGAAGGGTCACCTAAGTATTCGTTTTCAGAGTGGGGTGGCAAAGTTCCAAATTTTGTTGCATTTCTTGGTTCCTTAAGTCGTCAAAAAAATAAATAAATACCTGTAAAATGCATCCCTTCCTTTTCTCTGCGATCCTGTTGGTTGTCATCGTCGGAAGTGTGAGTACTTCAACTAATTATTTTTTAAATGAAGTCACGGTAATTAATCCCTTACAAAAAATTAAATTGGGCCCCCTTCACATTTTTTTGAAGCACACGACCAGTCAAGTTTCTATAACCAAACTTTCAAAAATGTTTCAATTTTTTCGTAAATTCTTTGAAATGAGTGCTCGAGAAAAGTTATAAATTTTTCTTCAAATTTCCATTGAATATTTACTCCATATTCGTCATATTTTTATAAAAATTTTATAAAAATTCTCTTCAGGCGTTCACCCAAGATGTCCGGTTTGCATGTAAAGATGGCAAATTTGGCCCGACAGAATCTCTCCGAGCAAAGTTGGGGGTTTGTCATAAATCTGAAGAGTATGGGACTGGAGAGGGCAAAAAAGATTTAAAAGTATTTATTTCAAAAATAAATATATTTCCGAATTATGCATAATTTCTACAATTTTTTTTTACAGTGTGCCGCATTCTGTTTTACTGAGGCTGTAAATGGGGTAAGTTCAGTACAAATTTATTTTTGCGAATATGTAATATTTACATTTTCATGCAAAAAAGTGAACGAAACACAAATCGACGCATTAATAACACAATTTTGAATTATTTAATAACAGTTTATCTAACGAATCCGTTGCAATGTAGGACTATTGAACTTGAATTTTTCATTTCCATTCTATGATAACCACTTATCATGAACGTCACTTATCATACCTCTTCCTAATTAAAACGTATTGTTTAAATTTGCATATTTACTTATCTAGTTAAAGGACGGACTTCCCGATAAAGCCGCGTTTGACCAACTCATCGAAACCGAAGTTCCCGAAGCTGAGAGGAAAGTTGCCAAAGAACAGCTTGCTTTCTGCTTTGAGAAACATGGTAAATCATTAAAAAATTATTACATTTAATTAAAAATACTTAATTACCCAATTTAAGTTATAATCTGTTTATTCATCCTGCAGGAGAAATTGACTTGAAGGATGAAAAGTGCGTGAATATCGCTGCTTTCAGTGCATGTGCGACAAGCCTCATTGCAAAAACGGCGTGTTAGGTGTCAACTATTTTGGGAGATTAAAAACGTTTTTAAACGATGCTAAATATTTACAGAAATATGTAAAAAATAAATACATAAATAAAGGTCTGTTAATATTTAATAATTTTTTATTATGATTGCAAACAAATTTTCAAATCCGGATTTCGAATTCTCGACTGTAAATCCGAGTTGGAATCTGTTTAGAAATTATTTCAAAATTTTATACCTTTTCTGAATCAATGATTGGCAAAAAATCGCCTATTTTTACCCTTCTTTTTCGAAAACATCATATTTTTGTAAATATCAAAGTGAGCTCGTACATCCAATATGGTAAATGGTCGTCGACTTGATTTTCGACTTGACATTATTTGGGGGTCGAAAGGTCATGAGGTCACCGTCACAAATGGCATATCGATGGAAAGGTGTCGGCCAGTGGATTCAGAGTTTGCATGCTTTCTATGACCCCCTGACCTTCAAAGTCTGTTTTGAGTTTTTATTCCTCAATTGTCCAGAATTTAACATAGCAGCGGATTGGGAGCTAACACGACAAACACGCAATACTATCAAGGATCTACCTATGTAGATATTAATCAGTACATATTAATCATATTATTAAAGAATAATGAACAGTAACCGCGGTAGCGTGGGGACGCACGGTTATTCGATGTCCGCATCATCACCCCTCTCCTACAATGCTAGAGTCCCCAGATGTCCCCACAGCTTCCGGGACCACTGATAATGAATAATTATTTTTATTTAACGGTTCGTGTGCAAAAGAGTTTTGACAGGTGTAGATTAGAGTGATTTTGATAATTATAATTGGAAAAATGTTGGAATGGTGTCCAGGGTTGAAAATCATTCTTCTGACGCTCGTACAGCAACATTAATCGAAACCCATGAATTAATCAATCAAACATATCATTAAAGCGTAATAATCACTAATCATCACGTAACTTTTAACATTCTGTCTAAAGTGTAAGAGTTTCGACAGTTGCAGATTAGCGTGATTTTGATAATTGGAATAATGTTGGGATACATATGATATCAGTGGCCGCGGAAGCCGTGGGGACAGTTGGGGACATTAACATTGTAGAATAGGAGAGGAAGGGCCAGGGGTTTATATAAAATTTGCAGATGATGCGGACATCGAATAACCGTGGGGACATTTTCCCTCTGTCCCCCCGCTTCTGCGGCCACTATGATATATATTCGATTACTATACCCACATATTTTGAGAATTACCCAATCACTAAATTTAGACAAATATGATACGACTATTTAATGCTTGACGAAATCGATTTATGCTTTATTCTTACTTGAAGGCAGTGCCGCGACAAAGGTGGATTTGACTGGATAATGGTTTCCAGGCCGTACGGCCCGGAGGGCCGTACCGGGCCTGCCTAAATATACACTAGATAAAATCAGGTTTTATGATTAAACTTTTCAAATCATGAAGTTGTTAAGTTTTGATGAAATTGTTAAAGAATTTAATTTACGCTAATGTCAATTGAATTCATTCATCTGAATCTATTCTAACCATTTAGTTATAACATATTAAAACTTTTTCATAGACATTTAGCCATTTTACGTAAGGTATGTGTTTTCCATTTCAAAACTTTTTTTACCGGAAAAGGAGGAAAAAAGTGGTAAAGGGGGGAAAAGGCCTAGTGATGGGCAACCTCAGAAAGCCTCTCGAAAAGTGAGGCCTACGACCTCGCATGTCGAGAAAGCTCAAGGCCTTGACCTCACAATTTCAGTCTTGGCCTCTGGTCGGAAGCTATAGGTGTCGACCTAGGCCTAACATCGGGAATCTTCGCCTCGGCGAGGCAAGTCTCGGCCTCTCTAGTTTTCAAAATATCGGCCTCAGACCTAATTGGCGTCGACCTCAAAATCTTTAAAAAGGCTTAGGCCTAAGGTCACAAAAACTGATCAAAGAGCCCGAGGCTTCCCATCACTTGAGGCCATGTATTTATTTAGTCCTTGAGGAATCTATATTTTCGTACTTCAAATTTGTATCTTCGTGAATACCGCCTAGTTTAACCTATTATCTTCCTTCCCAGATAACAATTCGAGATTTCGCTGTGGATTCTCTAGCGAATTCGCAACGAAATGCACGCCGATTCGCTAGCTAATGCGTGGAGAAATCGTGGAGTCGCTACGAGTTCGCTTTGAATTCGCCAGCGAATCGGCGGATATTTCGCTGCGAATTCGATACGGAATTTACAGCGAAATCTCGAATTGTTATCTGGGTTCTAGTGTTTCTACCATTTTATTATGTATACGTATATTAAGTGAATTTCAAAAATTTCTCGGACTGAGCGTATTACTCCAATGTTCCCGAACTTATGAACTTAATCTTATACAGACATCAAGTATGAACTTCAATTTTTAGAAATGTTAATTTTTAAAGATGATTAAAATATCAAACTCATTCCGGTATTTTTTAGTGAAGCAAATTCCTAGCCGCGAGAAAAGTACTAAAAATTGATTGTCCTGAGGTAGGTATTTCGGATTTTGACCTGACTAATTTTAAATTCTTCACGCTCAGAGATAAGAGGAACTGTTACATTTTTACTTGTTTTCGCTTGTGGCAGAATTTGAAAATAAAATTTCACCAAAATCAGTATTTTTCAAAACGCTCTAACTTTTCTGATCATTTAAAAATAGCTTTAATTATTTTCAATGCTTTTTGTATTGTTAATGATGCAGATATAGCATGAAAATCTCAGATTTTAGAAATTTTAAAATGAATTTTAATATAGGTATAGGTAGGTAAATTTATTATTGCTCGATTGATGTGGCCACAGCCTTTACAATCATATCTCAAAAAAATTTAAATTTTAATAATTGCAGGGGAGTAATTCTGAGCAAGAATTGTGCTTAATTTTTGAAATCGGGTTAAAATTCGAAAAGTGTATTTAATAAATTTAATAATTCCGCTACAGGGGAAAATGCAATACAAATTCTAGAAAACAAAAAAAATATTGGTCTGTTTATTTTGATGCTGCAACAATAAAAATTAGTCCGGTCGAAATAGGAAATAACCAACTTACAGCTCTGCTCTGTAATCCCAAGTCGATAACACACAATTCGATTTCTTGGCCATTTATCTAGCGATATTGATTAAGTTTTGAACAAGGCCAATGGGAAAAATGTATGAGCCATATTCCATTTTCCTGGTAATGTGAGTTTCTACCAGTCGAAACCCTGATTTTTGCCGGACTGGTATTAAATTACAATGGTTATAAAAAAGGCCGTACAATTCTTCAAAAATCCAGGCCCATCATTGGCTTGTCGCGGCACTGCTTGAAGGTCAAACCGACTAGTTGGTTTGAAAATTTTCATAACTATATTTCTTTAGCAATCCAAAAAAAGACTAATTTTGAAGAAAAAAACATTCAAAATCAGAAAGTTCCCAGGATGAGCTGTCCCAGAAAATCACAAGGTATTCTCCATACAGAGTAAGGTGACTTTAACTCACAATTCTTGACGAGTATTTCTCCGTATTTTCAGGTTCCTGCCGGAAAGTTATGTACTACAACAATTGTCAAAGAAAGCCATGTTCGCCAGCCCCATCGTGCCAAAATTATCAAACATACCCATGCTCACCGGCCCCTGCGACAAATTCGTGCCAAAATTATCAACAATATCCGTGTTCGCGAGTCATTCCGATCAACTACCAGCAAACTCCATTTATTTCGGCCCCTCCCACATATCCGTACGGCAACTATCAACAAAATCCATTTTCGCCATATCGGAATTACTATCAATAAGCTCTATTTGGCTACATATTTATAAAACTATCAACAAAATTCATTTTTGCAGCCCGAAAATCCCTAACTGTGGTTATCACTTATGAAATTAAATTATAGATTATACAATATATGGAATAGATAAGTATATATGAAATTTTATCTATTAATAAAACCGTATTCGGCCCTTTCTTTTACCTGGGTTACAGATATTTAATTGTAGAAATTGAGTTAACATTAAGTCGAAAACTAGGTTCGTGTCCTTGTTGTGGGTCATAAGGTCACCTTTCGTTATTAATGACGTAAGGTCTGTGGCAGCGGTTTAACACCACCTCCCAAAAACTGAAAAATGTTTTGAGTTTTGACTCCAAAATTCTCCAGAATTTAACCTCAGCAGGGAATAGGCAGCTATAATGAAGTAGTATTGACAAAAACTCAATGGTATACAATTAACACGTCTCCTAAAAAAATGGTAAAATGTATCGCTGGAGATTCACACCCAGTCAATACGGAATTTATGCACCTACTTTATTTGTTTCATCTCATGAAAAACTGAGTTGATTCCGCAACTGTTTAACATAACGTAGTTGTTCAATAACTTGCCGTATTAATAAAAACTAATTAAAGATGCACATTCAATACAGATTAATCATATATCATTAAAGCATAATATCTAATCATAGTGATTTTTAACCGTTCATGTAAAAGTTTTGACAGTTGTAGATTAGAGCGATTTTGATAATTAGAACAATGTAGGAATAAATATGCATGGTAAATATTCAACTGCTATCTTCTGGTGTCCACAGCGGAAACATTTAATCAAAACTTGTCAATCAATTAATCTGCTCCAACTAATATATATTTTGATTGTCCAATCACTAAAGTCAGATAAATTATTAATATTATTAATAAATACTTGTGGAATCATTTCATTCTTTATTCCTACTTGAAGGTCAGACCTTTAAAAAGTTGTGTGACACTCATCCTCAGAAACACTTCTTCAGCAAGGTTATTGATTGGAAAAATGTTTAAGCGTGATGGAATTTCTGCCCGCCAAAAACACGTGCCCACTAGATTAACATTGCGAGCGGGCTGAAATTCAAATCAAATCTATCACGCTTAAATATTTTTTCTAATCAATAGTTTTGTGCAAGAAAAAAAGGCTCCCACGATGTACAAACATGCTGCTGCTAAACCACAAAGTAAATATTTTCCTTGTATCGTAACACTGGGGGACCTCAGACACACGAAAAAATCGTCGCTTCGAATTTCGCTGTTTTTCGAGCATACCAAAAAATTATGAAAATTTGTTCCGACAGGAGCTAACCGACCTTAACCCCACTTCTGAGTTGAGTTTCTGTTCGTTTGCCCCAGAGCTCGTTTATCAGGAAGTAAGCGAAATTCGAAGCAACGATTTTTTTGTGTCTGAGGACCTCCTTATAAATGGAGGTCACCTGTGTACCATCTCCAATTTTGATAAAATTTGTCTCAATCGATGACCAATTTGATAAGTATAAAATTTGCGAAAGACACGATCTCCCAATTCGCACGTTTTACAGAGAAATTTGCATCCAAACAGGAGAAAACGCGCATTAAAGCCGACAAATTTGACACTTTCCAAATGTACTGCGCGTTTTCTCCTCTTCTGATATAAATATCTCTGCAAAACGTGCGAATTGGGAGATCGTGTCTTTCGCAAATTTCATACTAATCAAATTTGTCATCGATTGATACAAATTTTATCAAAATGGGAGAGCAAACGCTGGATAATTTCCCAATAATACAAAATTCTTGGTTATATATATTTCTCCGTTTTCAGCTTCCCATCTTCAACAAAAGTTTGAAATACGTCGTCTCCTCGGTCAAGGAGGACAAGGGGCAGTGCTCCTCTGCCGAAACAAACTTGACCAGAGGGACTCTGCCGTAAAGATTGCAAGTAATTTTTCTGGTGAGAAAGAAATCGATAATGTAGCCAAATTGCCAAAACATGACAATCTTGTGCGATACTATACGTGGTGGAAGGATTCAATACCCAGTGGAGAGTTATATCAGCTTAAAGTGAAAATGGGAATTCATGGAATGAAGTGAGACCCCATGTTAACATTGGACTCGATGACGCATCACCAAAATCGTCAAAGTGAGCACATAGATAATGGGCCTCCTCAGACACACGAAAATATCGTCGCTTAGAATTTCGCTTCGTTTTTCGCTTATCGATAGCATGGCCAAAATTATAAAAATTGCAAAATTTTGTTCCGACTGTAGCTGACCGACCTTAACCTCACATCTGAGTTGAGTTTCTGTTCGCTTGCCCCAGAGCTCGCTTATCAGAAAGTAAGCGAAAAACGATGCGAAATTCTAAGCGACGATATTTTTGTGTGTCTGAGGAGGCCCAATGATTCATTTCTCGATTCTGGGAGTTGAGTTTAAAATTCTGGACGACAAATTTGTAGTCAGTGAGTTGATTAATGGAATGGCGTTCAGTATTTTAAGCTGGTTTTGATGAGTTCCAATTTTTCTGAAAACTTCTTAAACTTGACATCTCCTCCTTCAAAAAGTGTAGAATCTAGAGGGTATATTTCTTTTAAAAATTGACGACGACCTGCTCTAAAAAATTTGTTGGGCAGAATTTTAAAATAAATTCCCAGAGTTAAGAAATAGTTCAATATAGCTCGAATTTATTTTAAAATTCTGCACAAATTTTTTAGAGCAGGTCGTCGTCAATTTTTAAAAGAAATATACCCTCTATATTCTACACTTTTTGAAGGAGGAGATCTCAAGTTTATGACGTTTTCAGAAAAATTGGAACTCGTCGAAACTGGCTTAAAAAACTCACTGACATTCCATTATTCACCTCACCAACTACAAATTCATCGTCCAGAATAAATTCCCAGAATCCAGAATTGAATCATTCTCTATGTGCTGATTTTGACAATTTTCGTGATGAGTCATCGAATGCTGCGTTGCTTTAACGTGCAATAGCATGCGGGTTTTGAGTTTCAATTATTGTGTCTCAGCTTTCCCTTCTTCCATTTATTCAAATGGCGATTTTGAAACCTCTTCATCGCCTTCCGTTTTTTGTAATATGAGGATTTTAACCCATCCAAGAATCGAGAAAATAAATATATGAAACATATGAACATATGAAAATAATCAGTAAAAATTAAACATTTTCTCATGGAAGAAAAAAATCAGATCGATTCTACGCTCGTAACTCTGTACACCTAAAGATGTTCTATTTTTAGGTGTATTAAAATCTTCATATCATATTAAAATCTTCATTGTTAAAACGAAAGGCGATAAAGAAATTTCAAAATCGCCATTTGAATATATGGCGAAGTGAAAGCTGAGACACAATAATGCAAACTCAAAACCCGCATGCTATACCACCTTAACCTAAATTTTCCACAATAATTCCACAGCATCCCACCTGGAAGTAACGCCCTTAACGTGATCTGCATCCAAATGGAACTTTGCGGCCAAGACTTGCGCCACTGGCTACATCAACTCCAATCCGTCGATGAGAAACTATCCATCGGAATCTGCCTTCAATTAGTCCAGGGTCTTAAACACATCCACACGCACAACCTGATCCATCGCGACTTAAAACCCGATAACATTTTCTTCGATAAGAATAATCCAACCCGTGTAAAAATCGGAGATCTTGGCATTGCCACGGATCACTTTGCCACAAAATCGCCTCTCCCGCACACGATGGGTGCGGGGACAGAGGGGTACCTCGCGCCAGAACAGTCTCTCGCATCGTACAGTAAATCCGTGGATATTTACGCTCTTGGAATAATATTTATGGAGATACTTTGCCCCTCATTGCAAAATGGTCAAAAACTGAAAGGAGCAATTTATAATTTAAAGATTAAGAAAATTATTCCCGACCCGATTAAAAAAAGTGGCCCAATGTTGTCGCATTGATTGTTCAAATGGTATCGGTGGATCCGAAAAAGCGACCAAGCTTTGAAACTATTTATGCCGCTTTGACCACACCAGGGTCAAGTTTTGTAAACATAACTCCAGGTACCTATCAAAAAAAGGCAGTTGCGCAAGCGCAAGCCGTTCCAATGTCTTCGTACGTCAACTATCCAAAAAAATATGCCGCGAACGTATGTGCGCACGTCAACTATCCAAAAAAATATGCCACGAACGTATGTGCGCACGTCAACTATCCAAAAAAATATGCCGCGAACGTATGTGCGCACGTCAACCAGCAACAAAATCCATGCTTGCCAGTCGCTCCAATGTATCAGTACGTCAAGTATCCATCTTTACCAGTCGGTAATGTATGTGCGCAGGTCAACTATCAACAGAACCAGTGTGTCCCAGCCGCTCCTATGTATCAGTACGTTAACTATCAGCAAAATCCATGCTTACCAGTCGGTAATGTATGTGCGCATGTCAACTATCAACAAAATCCCGGTGTGCCAGCTGTTCCAATATACCCGTACATTAACTATCAACAAACCTACAGTACAGGCTTTACACAGCCAGGGTCAGGCCTAGTTCTGGAAATCGTCCATGAAATGAAATGATTAATTGACGAATTAATTATATATGAAATTTTTGTCATAAATTTATATAAATAATTTAAATATATATTTATATACTGATTTTCTTCAATTTCAATTAATATCCTTATATTAGGGGTCATTTGCAAATTTTCGTTCAATTGGATAAGTTTTACAAGCTTGCCGACTTGATATAGCCTGGACCGTTATCACCAAATCTAACTTCTTAGGGGGTCAAAAAGTAATGAAGTCACTGTTCCATAAATGTCTGGAGACGGCTGATTAAGAGTTTACGCAAGATTTATCCACGCAAGATTGGACTTTTCCCAGAAATTCAAAATTCTGAGAAACTACGCCACTGTTAGTCTCAAATTCCCTCAAATAATGCTGACGGGGAACTTTGAGACTCACAGTGGCGTAGTTTCTCAGAATTCCCAATTTCTGTAAAAATTCAATCCTGTGTGGATGGAGAGTATATACTTTGCTTTATTTAATCACCCGACCCAGAGACATAAAAGAGTGTTTTGAGTTTTGATTACGCAATTGTTCAGAATTTAATATAGCAGCGGATTGGGACTTTACATGGAGTAGTATTGACAAAAATGCAATACTATCAAGCACATTTAATTCATATGTATCACTTAATTATAATGTCATTGCATATTATCCCTGCGAACAAATTTCTATACTAAATTTGAATAAATACTACTGTTATTACAGCATGACACCCAATCGTAGTTCATCTGAAAAAGTATGAGAGTTTATTTGCCAATTGTTGATTAGAGTGGTTTTGATAACTTTATGGGATATGATAAATATTCAAGTGCTCCGTTTGATTGTTCAATCACTGAATTTAGATAAATAAATTCACACATACGACTACTACATAATACTTTAGGGGATTATTTCATGTTTTATTCTAACTTGAAGGTTAAACACTGAAGTTCATTTCAAATTTTGCATGGTACTCATATATTTCTTAAGTATTCTTAACGACGACTTTTGTAGAAAACATTTAACAGATTTAATTCAATTATAATCAGAAAGTTCCCAGGATGGCCAAACCTCCTCCAAAACTACAAGGTACACATTCCCTATACAGCGTAACATTAACGATAGTAGTGTCTCCCAGCACATATGCTATTCGAGTTTATAGCCAAATTATTTTAAGCGTCAGTTGATCTCAAATTTGACTTGTTCTAATTTTCAAAAAACACGATCTTCCAATGGGCACGTTTGCATCCCAAGAGGAGAAAACGTAGTAAATTTGGAAAATGTAAAATTTGCATGCGAGACTGTGCGTTTCGCTTGACACTTATTTGATCGAAAACATTTTGTTGTCCGTGGTTTCCCCTAAGGAGGTGAGGTCAGGATGAACTTTTTTCTAAAAAAATTAAAAGTTGGGGAATAGCAGGCAATTTGGCCATGGTAACCAACCAAATTCATGGAAAATTGCCTTAGGAGGCAATTTTTAATTAAAAAAAATTCATCCTGACATCGGAGAAACCACGGACAATAAAATGTTTATGGTCTAAAATTTAGATCATACGCTGAGAGACCTCCATTTTAAGTCACAATGACAAAATTCTTAATGATCACGTACATTTCCGCATTTCAGCATCCCGTCTTCAACAAGACTTTGAATTACGTCGTCTCCTCGGCGAAGGAGCATTTGGGGCGGTGATATATTGCCGAAATAAACTTGACGGGAAGGCCTACGCCATAAAAATTTCTGGGGATGTTTTGGATAAGAGAGAAATTCAAAATTTGGTCAAATTGCCAGCACATGCAAATCTTGTTCAGTACCATACGGCGTGGAAGGATGCATTTTCTAGTGGAGAGATTTCTCAGATTAAAGCCAAAATAGGAATGGCATCTGGGAGTCATTTGAGGTGAGAATATTAACCAGAATACATTAACCTCTTAACTACGAAATGCGAAACTTACGAAGGTGCGTAAGTATAGGCAAGGTTGAGGCGTCTTTTTCGTTAGCAAAAATATTTCGTACTATTAAATATTTTCGAAAATATTTTTAATAAAAAAAAATATAAAAAATCTCATTTGGTTAAAATAACAAAATCTTGATATTCCGCATACCTATCACGATATTGATGGCAAGGAAAAATTAAAAGCAATTTTATGAAATAATTGTTATGAGGGATGTTTCACGTCAACCTTTTGTAAATGACGTAAATTTATGACTACTTTCTTATGAATCCACAGTTCCAGAGGTCGTGATATTTATTTGATATTTTGGGATGCAGAAAAACTCGATTTTCATGTTTTTCGTCAAAATGTGCAAAAATTGGTCATTTAAGTAAATCATAGAAATTTTAATAGGTTGTTTTTTTTTGGAGTGACTATGTACAAAATCAACATTCTACCTCAGAGAAATTTTATTAAAAGTCAGCCCTACATGCGAAATAGGTTAATAACATTTTTCCAAATGCTTAAATTTTTTAAATAATTCTACAGTATCCCGCCAGGAAGTAGCGCCCTTAACGTGCTCTGCATCCAAATGGAACTCTGCGGTCAAGATCTACGCCATTGGCTGGGTCAAGCCTCCTCCGTCGATGAACAATTATCCATCGGAATCTTCATCCAATTACTCCGAGGCCTTAACCACATCCACACGCACAACCTGATCCATCGCGACTTAAAACCCGAAAACATCTTCTTCGACAAGAATAATCCATCCGTCGTAAAAATCGGAGATCTTGGCATAGCCACGGATCATTTCGCCACAAAAGCGGCTCTTTTCCACACGAAGGGTGCCGGGACAATGTTATACCTGGCGCCTGAACAATCTAATGCATCATACAGTAAATCCGTAGATATTTACGCTCTCGGAATAATATTTATGGAACTGCTTTGCCCCTCGTTACAAGTAGGGGGCGATTATCAGAAACTATTTGGAGCAATTAGCGATTTAAAAAGTAGAAAAATCGTTCCAGACTCGATTAAAAGAAAGTGGCCCAAGGCGGCCGGGCTAATCGTGGAAATGGTGGCGCATAATCCGGATAAGAGACCAAGTTATGACAGCATTTACGCCACATTTGCGACAAGTTCAGGTGGTTCAAGTTCCGGTACAAGAACGCCATCCGGCGCTTCTGCACCTCGAAATTCCGCCCCTGTTCCTTCAACCTTCGTTCAAAATAAGGCGCCAACCCTCGTTCAAAATAAGGCGCCAACCCTCGTTCAAAATAAGGCGCCAACCTTCGTCCAAAATAAGGCGCCAACCGTCATTCACAGTGGGGTTCGTTGTAATGGATGTGGAGTTCAGAATATACAAGGGGTTCGATTCAAATGCACAATCTGTGATGATTACGACTTGTGCGAAAAGTGCGAAAAAAGGTGCGGACTTCATCCCGAGGATCATATCCTGCTTAAAATAAAGACGCCGAAGAGGCGTATTCCCGCGGCCGCTGTACCAGATTTTAGCCCCGCTCCCGCCGCAGCAGGAGCTTCTTCCTCAAGGGCAGCGACATCTTCGTATCAAAATCCATTTCAGCAAATTACCCATCAAAACCCAATTCAGTACGATAACCATCAAAACCCATTTTCGTACCATAGCGACCCACATGCTGCACATTTTAACCTGCTAAATATGAACTCTGTTGGACAAACACTTGCCCCATTTTCGTACCATAACGACCCACTTTCGGCACAGTTACACCTTTTAAATTTGAATTCAGTTGGACAAAGTCAAACTGGGACACTCTATGATTTCGACACTAATTCGGACGACAGTTCTAGCGCGGAAGAAGCTGAGGGCAATTACGTAAATGGAGCAATTTGTAACAACTGTTCAGAAAGCGTGACGACCTGGTACCAGTGTGACGACTGTCCTCGGAGTGCTGCTGGGTACTTTGATTTATGTGGGGACTGTCTTCACGATTCCTACCTGAAACATCCTCGTCGTCATAATTTCACCAAATTTAAATGTTATCATTAGTATTTAATTTGATTAATATTAATAGAAAATTTTGTTTCCTATAACATTTTTCGATATCTGACCTCGATATGTGACCTGTTATTAAGGGGTTAAGCTCATTAATAGGAATACGTTTGTTTGTCTGCGTACACAGTAAGTTGATAACGATTTTAGCCGAATGTAATGAGAGATCACAGAGTTTCTTAATAGGAGTACAGATGTGTATACAATAATTCCTACAATTTGAAAGTATTTATGCTTATGACAATGACAAATTTAAGCTAAGAATAAAGCCCAATTAAAATAAACAAGGCGTTTCTAAATCCGATCCGTTTTTAAAATTATTTTAACCTTTCAAAATTTTGAATAATTCACAATTATGTAAACAGCTTGTTTACATAATGCTATTTAGTATACTTCGTAAATTGAGAAGAAATTGGCCGCTCCATGAAAATAGGTGTTTTGGTATAGATTTGCGATTTTTTGAATCCCCTCAGGATAAAAGTATTCGCAAGTTTGCTAAATGAGTTGGGCTGCGAAATAATAAGTTGTCGTGAGTACACCCAATATATTATTTATCATATTATTAAAGCATGAACTAATCCCAAGGAACGTGCATCTATTGCGTCATCATAAAGCACCAATTTTAAAACCAAACACCTTATTCATATTAACCCTTTAAACTGTAACGACGACAATAGTCGTTTTATAAGAAATGGTTTAATTCGGGAGTACGACAAAAGTCGTTCTCAAAAATCGTGGTCATGGCGCGGAAGGAAGACAATTGTCGTTTCTAGGAGGTCATTTATTTTCACCATTTTCTCTCCGCGACCTAAAATTTGTTGCAATTTTGAGATATTTCTCCTATGCCAACACAATGCTAAATTTGAAGATTTTCTAGCCAAAAATTTGGATATTTCCCTATACAACTCAATATTAAATTTTTGATTTTTCAGTTGTTCGAGTTTTATTAAAAACTCCTGATTTCTCCTCACGCGCCATGACCACAACATACTTATAGTGTCCCCGATTTAATGCATTTTCTTGTCGTTAATCATACACGTTAAAGGGTTAAGCTAAACACGAGTAAGATAACGTAATGCTTGCTAGTTCACACATTGATTTTTATGCTAACGCGATTTGACAGTTGTTTAGATTAGAGTGAATTCGATAATTTGAGCAATGTTGGAATATGATATGCGGAATATGATAAATATTCAACTCTTCAAACTTTTAACTACACAAATGCATTTTGATTGTCCAGCCATTAAATTTAGATAAATAATTCCAGTCATACAATTAAATCATTTCATACTTTATTCCAACTTGAATGTCAAACCATTGGGTTCGATTAAATCTTTGCGTGAAATTTCTGCAGTATTTTGAAAGACTTTTTGTAAATAAATAACATTCCACGTATTCAGTTTTAATCAGGAGGTTGCCAGAATGCATAAATACCTTGCTGCAAACCCACAAGGTATTCTCTATAGAGCGCAACTCATTAACAATGGAATTTTCCCAGCGGATGCTCTCCGATTATGAGCAACCTAGTATCAATCGGTCATAAATTTAATTGGTATGAAATTTGCGAAAGTGAAGATCTCCTAATGGGCACCTTTGACATAGATATTTGCATCTGAAGAGGAGAAAACGCGCCGTAAAGTCTACAAATATTACAATATCTAATTTTACTGCGCGTTTTCTCCTCTTCGGATGCAAATATTTCGGCCAAACGTGCCCATTGGGAGATCGTGTCTTTTACAAATTTCATCCTAATTAAATTTGTCATCGATTGGTACTAGTTTGTTCAAAATCGGAGAGCATCCGCTGGGAAAATTCCATTGTAAAGTCTAATGATACACAATTCTTAACAAGTATATTTCCACAGTTTCATCTTCCCGTCTTCAACAAGATTTTAAATTATGTCGTCTCCTTGGCCAAGGGGGATTTGGGGCGGTGATCCACTGCCGAAATAAACTTGACCGGAAGGACTACGCCGTAAAAATTATGTTCAATGTTATTGACGATAGAGAAATTCAAAATTTGAGCAAGTTGCCAACCCACGAGAATCTTGTGCAGTACCACACGGCGTGGAAGGACTCATTTTCTAGTGGAGAGCTGGCTCAGATTATAACCAAGATGGAAATTCATGGAATGAGGTGAAAACATATATTAAGGTCGGACTCGATGACTTATTACCAAAATTAGTACATTTTTCTCGACTCGAGGAATTTATTTTCTGAGTCATTTTTTAAGCCAGTTTAGATGAGTTCAAATTTTTCTGAAAGCTTCTTAAACTTTAGATCTCCTTCAAAAATTGTCAAAGTCTGGAGTTCTCATTTCATAAAAAATTTGCAAATCCCTGCTCTGTCCATAATAATAAATTTCCAACGTCGAGAAATCATTCAAACCGTGTTGATTTTTACTATTTGTTATGATGAGTCATCGTGTCTTATGTTACGACGGAAGTAAAATCTTCTTAAATACTTGTACAGTATCCCCAAAGGAAGTAGCACCCTTAACCTGCTCTGCATCCAGATGGAACTCTGTGGCCAAGATCTGCGCAGTTGGCTGGATCAAGGCAAACTCGTGGGTGAAAGAATATCATTTGAAATCTTCCTACAACTACTCGAAGGCCTTAACCACATCCACACGAATAACCTGATCCATCGAGACTTAAAGCCTGATAACATTTTCTTTGACAAGAATGATCCATCCCGCGTAAAAATAGGCGATCTTGGCATAGCAACGGATCACTATGCCCCAAAAGCTCGACAGCACACGGCCGGGGCGGGAACAATGTTGTACCTGGCGCCAGAACAAGCTCAGGCATCATACAGTAAATCCGTAGATATTTACGCCCTCGGAATAATATTTATGGAACTGCTTTGTCCCTCATTACAACGAGATGATCAGAAATTAGTTGAAGCAATTAATGCTTTAAAGTATAAGAAAATCGTTCCAGACTCCATTACAAGAAAGTGGTCAAAGGCTGCGGGCCTAATTGTTCAAATGGTCGCCGTGGATTCAAGGGAAAGACCAACTTATGAAAGTATTTGTACTGCTTTTCCGGCATGGTCGAGCTTCCTTGAAAGAACTCCAATCGTTTCCGAACCTCAAAATCATGTCGTTCACAGTGGAGTTGACTGCGATGGATGCGGGATTAAGAATATACAAGGGGTTCGATTTAAATGCACTACTTGTAGCGATTACGATTTGTGCGAAAATTGCGAAAAAAAGCATGGACTTCATCCCCAGGATCATATATTGCTCAAAATAAAGACGTCCAGGGGGCGTATTCCGGATAATTTTGGGCCCCACGCGGCAGCTTCATCCTCAAAGGTAAATGCAGCTTCGAACGAGTATTATAAAATTCCAGTTCGTTACAACAATCAGCAAGACCCGAAGTTCGAAAAGCGAGGAATCCCACTTCCGCCCAACTATGGAAACCCATTTCAACCCAAGCCTGACCCAATTTCGGACCCGTTTCACCGCTTATTAAATTTGAATTCGGTTGGACAAACTCGAACCCCCTTTGACACCAATTCGCCCGACAGTTCGAGTGCGGAAGAGGCTGGGGACGAATACTTAACTGGAATAGTTTGTAACAACTGTGACCGAAAGGTGACAACTTGGTATCAGTGCGATAACTGTCCTAAACGGTATCCAGGAGGGTTTGATTTGTGTGTTTGTAGAGATTGTTATCGCCACAATTCCTTCTTGGAACATATTCGTCGTCACAGTTTCACCAAATTTAGAACTTAGCTATTATTATCCGATTAACCTCTTAAGCACGAAGTACACATATTTTATTTAATGAAATGCACAAGTATTTTTTACTGCATAAATTACCCTAAAACCAAAATTTCTAAAAAAAAGAGTATTTATTTGGTATTATGTGGAAAATTCGATGGTTAAAAGTGGATTTTTTTTCCTTATTTTTCTTCTCGAATTGTGGAAATTTCCCTATATCGACCAATGTTAAAATGTGGATTTTTCATATTTTTCGTCAAAAACTCAAAAATTGGAAACTGGTTGAAATTTTAATTGGTTGCTATCAGGTGTAATTATGAAGTCAACATCGTACCGAAGAGAAATTTTATTAAAAGTCAGTGGGACGGAAGAGGTTAATATTAACTTGTGTGTGCGATAACAAGAAAATAAATATTCCTATTTGCATCCTCGAAAAAATTGAATTTTTATTAGCAGTTGAGCATTATTTTTTAGCATTTTAGCATTTCAGATATTTGCATTTAAATAAATTGACTATGGTGGAGTGCGATTAAAATTCTATGACGAAGTTATTCTACCTTAAACTCCTAGATTAAATGATAAAATGGAAGGAATTGAGGGGATTTATTGGAGACGATATTCCGCATTTTCATTCACTGTTTATTTGATGACACACGATTTGCCAACACAAATTTAGTCGACGTCGCATAAATATACCGCAAAATTGTCACTTTATATTATATATACCCTGTGTCAAAAGTAGTTCATACTGATAAGTAGTTATCATGCACTGGAAGTGAACAACTCAAGTTCAACGGTCGCTTTTTACTTATACATTCTTCATTCATTCATTCATTTAGTAGATACGTTTTGCATGAAAATAATTGCCAGAAGTCTGCATAAAATTATTATTTGCAAACTGGCATAAATTGGAAATCATATTTAATCAGTTATACATAAAGCTAAAATTAGGAATTTTTTAAAAACGGTGAACTACATAAATCTAAAGTAAATTTCTTAATGGACCAATAAATTCAGTCTGTCATATGTAAAATTCGCAATATTTTTAGCAAATGTGCAAAAACGACAAATCTGAGTTCAGTTTCGATGCGCAATTCACGTAAGTGCGTTGCTGATACATATTTGCTTTCACTATCTATCAATTCTCGCCATGTATAAATTGCTACTTTGCGAACTATTTCCGTGTGCTGGGCAAACATGAAAAGACTCAGATTCCATGAAAACGTGGACAAGTGCGACAAACGAAAATCATCTCTAGAGCAAAAATTATTATGGTCAGTAAGTTAGCAGGACTCGGCACAATAAGAGCACCCATTTTATCAAGTACATGGATAAGTAAACAATAAAATAATACACTTTTCTCCAAAATCACGAAAACTTAGCTATCTTAAATCAAAGGTGAGCAAAATACTTTTTCTCAAAACAGTATCTTGCTTGAGCCCCATTCTTCCCAGAGTTTGGATTTCCGGGGCTGTTACACACACCAAAAGACGAAAATCTACATGGAGAAGACAACGGTCATACGAAAATAGTGGGTTTGTAAAGAAATTAACTGTTTCTCGCTGAAAAAATATGTTTTTTATGATTTTTTTAAAAAGTATTTTGACAGCGATAAAAGTTAATTTCTTCACAAAACTTATATTTTCGTAAGACTGCTGCCTTTTCGATGCAGATTATCGTCTTTTGGTTCCCTGGGAAGAATGAAGCTCAAAATTTTTATTAACTTATTAAATTAAATTATTTTTAAATTATTTTTTAAAAAAGGGGAAAGTAATGTATTTATTTTGACACCGATAAAATGTTACGTTTTCCACAAAACTTGTAATTTCGACTGACTGTTGCCTTCTCCACGTAGATTTTCCTTTTTGTGGGTGTAACAGCTCCGGAAATCCAAACCCTGGGAAGAATAGACCTAAAAATCCACTTTTTGACAGTATTTTTCTCCACCTCTGAAATACCGAATGTTTAGCATGAATTCCGGAAGGACGCCGGGATCCAATTGGCACGACACGCTTCTTAAAAATCAGGCCAATTTCTCCGACGATGAAAACGAGCCTCCCAAATTATCCCGCTTACTCGACCTCATCGAATGCCCGGTCTGCCGAGAAATCCCATCTCCTCCGATTTACAACTGTGAAAACGGTCATTTCGCCTGCGCCACGTGCTTACCACGCCTCACAACGAATCGTTGCCCGTACTGCCTCGCGACTTTCACCAGGATGAGAAACTATCCACTCGAATCGCTCGTTACGACGGGGTCCGTTCCCTGCGACTTTGTCCAGTTTGGCTGCACCCAGGATAGCTTGACCTTGCTGGAGTATGAACGCCACGTGGAGTCGTGTTGGGCGCAAATTTGGTATGCATTTTATTAAAAAACTGACTAAAGTTATTTTCAATGAGCGACGACACGAAATTTCGCGTCATAACTCACTTAGCAAATTTGCGAAGGGATAAAAATTTGTGTCGTGAGGAGATTCGCAAAATATGGAAATCTTCAAAAATCTAAAGCAAAGTTTTTGCATCAAAAGCACCGTTTTTGACGGATTTCTGTAATTTCTCTTGCTGGTAATAAATTTGCGAAGTAAAAACATGACCATTTGCTGTGTAAAAATTTGCGAAACATACATAGCCCAAAATTTTCCAGGAATAGTTTTGCGAAATCTCGCAATTTTCGCAAGTTACATATGCTCAATTTGCGAGATAAGTTAGCGTAAGTATGCTCAATAATTACATGATTTGTATACTAGGCGTCCCGGAAAAATTATTCAGCATTCAAAAAAGTCACATGCCCACCCCCACGCCAATAATTCATCCCCCCTTCAACCCTGTCCGCGATGCCAGCAAGAAAATTCCACGAGAAAAGTGAAATGTCGCAAATGTGATGGATCTCTACGACCACCGACCCCCATGAAAGAACTCACTGCTTCCCAATCTCAGCTCAATTTCGTCTTTTGAAAAAAATAATACAATTATAATTACCTTTGTGAATAAATACTGACGAAGTGAAATTTCGTGAAATTTTACGGGGGTAAATTTCACGGAAAAGGAAAAGTTTTTGTAATTTTGATAACGTTCCATTGTCAATTAAATTAATTAAATCATGAAAAATGTATATTACATAAATATATTAAATTTTGCAATCATTTTTAAATACTAAATTATGCGATTAAATTATGAATGTTAAAAACTTCTGTTTCACGCTAAGTAGTTGAGTTCATCACATGTTCAGCACCTTAGCCGAATTATTTTATTTGACACTAGTTATTTTTATTTTGGCGTTTAAATTATTCAATTCCGCACGATTTCTAATGTTTAATTACTTAAATCATAAAGTATGCAAATAGATCAGTGCAAATAAATTTTTAATTATGCAGTCTCTATCAATTTCGCTTTAAAAAAATTATTGAAATGAATACCAAATTTAAAAAAAAAAAACAAAAAAACAGGGATTTAGTATTGAAATAATAAGCAAAAAATAATATGCAAATACATAAATCATTCCACGTTTTTTCCATAAAACACTCTTAAATTTTCCTTTTAAAAACATTGTGCAAATAAATCACAAATTATTCAAGCAAATATCTGTATATTATGGATTATGCAAATTAAATTCTTGTCTTATGTATGCGAACAGACAGATTATGAATTAAACATGCAAATCAGAATATGAATTAATTATGAATATAAAATCTTCAAATAAATAATTCACACATTTTTCAATATCTTCAAAACAACTAGAATGGTTTTCTTTATTCAGCAGCAACAATTATGTATGTATCAGTATTTTGTATGTAGTAGATAAGTCGTGGTCACAATTTTCCTTTAATAACCACACACGAGAGATTACTTATTTAACCTAAAACGCATATTATTTTTCATAAATTTTCTTATATTTCGTCATCATCACCAACCAACCAAAAACCGGGACTGTTTCCTTCATTTTTTGTATTTATGTAGATTACTTATGTTTCACGACTTCTTCTTCTTCTGTATAACAATTAATAAGCTTTAAATTAAATTAAAGTAACGGGGGGCATTTATCGTGGGGGGAAAGATAACCTCACTAAATAATAATTAACTAATTAATTAAAACTAAGTTAACAATACTATACACCAACAATGATTAATTAATTAATAAACTAGGAAACAATCAATTTTTTCAGTATGTATTTAAATCTAAAAGAACACAGACAATTCATCATCATTTCATTTTTATCGACATCAAAAAGAAGTTCATTTCAGGCAAAAAATTCAAAAAAATTGTCATTCCTCGGAAACTTTAAGTTCACATTCTCAGTGCTTTCTCTTCTTCTTCCTCAGTCCAAACTCTATCTGTCATTTTCATCCCATTTTCCAATCTAGTGTTCGTTCGGGTGCAAGAAATAGCTGGGAGAAAGTGGTTTCTTGCAGGGGAATATTTTGACGTGGGAGAAATGCAAGGCGCGAGAAACTATGTAGCGCCGCGCATAGTTCATACTGCGCGTGGCTAGATGGCGCTTAATTCGTGCACTTTCTCCCAGTTTCGTGCGTTTTTGCTTAGAAGTGCAAGAAATAACCGCAAGAAAGTGGTTTTTGCAGCTATTTTGACCTGCAAGAAATGCAAGGCGCGAGGTTACGGCGCATATTTCTTGCACTTTCTCCCAGTTTCTTGCACTTCGCAATTCCTGCAGTGCAAGAAATGTGACAAACCGAAACACTGTCTTTCACCGTTCAATCCATTCTTGTAGCAGCAGCTCAGACGAAGATTTTTTATACATAATTAGCATATTTAATTAACTAATAATTAATTAATAATAACAACAATAATAAATACCATTATCCCGATAGACTCCTACACAATTCTCCTCTCGAACAGTATCGTCTGCCCAGATTAAAAAATCGAGTAGTGCTATCTCCGCAAATAAAAATCACAAAATCTTGATCGCCATAAAATACTAAGGGTGTGCAGGGAAGGTTTGAGCAATTTTCTGCCAGCCACAGATTTAGTTCGGGAGGGAATTTGTGGTTTAAATTTAGTATTTAAATAACTTATCTAGGCAAGAATCAATGCAGAAAATCTTGATAAGCTCTGTTAAAAAATGGCAAATATATTGAGGAAGAGCTGAAGGTGTTTTAAAAATATGTTTCCAAATTGGAAACATTCAGCTCTTCACTCAATACTTCTTACATTTCTGACAGAACGTATTAACATTTTTATGACAGGTTCTTGAACAGCTAAGTTATTCAAATACTAAATTTAAACCACAAATTTCCGCCCAAACAAAATCTATGACTGGGGGAACTTGACCAAACCTTCTTTACCCACCCTCCCTAATAATTAAACTAATTACCTAACTTACTACATATTTATCCCGTATTTTGCTTTCACACTTTCTCCCCCCTTCCACCTTTCTTCCACCCATTTTGCATTTTTCAGTGAGGACTACAAAATTATAAATTATCCATTTTATTTATGTATATATAAATTTGATTTTAAGCTTGTGTTGTCATTAATTAATTAGTTAATTTTTTTTGTTTACATATTTCTTTGTAATTACATATTTATGCAATTTTTTCAATAATTTCATACTCCTTTAATAACTGACTTATTTAATAGAGTTTCTACGAATCTGTTGCTTTAAAAGTTTGTAGTTTATCAGAGATAATTAATAATTAAATGCTGATGCATGGCATTTTGTACTAACGCGTATGTATATATGTATTTATGAACGAGTATACTGCAGTACGAGCAAAAGTTTTTTCAGAGAATTTAAATAATTTTTTTTCATTTCCAGACAAGAGAAAAATGAAATTTTGATAAAATCGATTATTTTTTAGTGTGTTCAACTGCTTATTAACAGATTTTTGATGAAATTTGGAGATAATTTTAAGAAGAACTCCAAGCGAGCAGTTTCACGATATTTTTTTTTGTAGTTCCACTTATTATGAGATATTCCATATAATAAAATGACTACTTTAATTAAATTCCATGAAAAATCTTTGTCAACTTTTTCTGTCAAAAAATCAGTTCCAATTCAAACCCGAAATCGATCCTTTTTTCATACATGCATATTTTTACGGTACGACAACCTGCCCATATTTTTCCCTTCTTAGATAATTTACATATTTCTTAGTAAATTACTTTACGCCCACAAAAAATAGGGAACTTTCTCAAAATCCTGACACTTTCTCTTTCTCTGATTTCCCAAAAACTTATAAAACTTTCTTTCCTTCCCAAAATTACGATTACCAATTAAAGTAATTATAGATATATTTTTTAGCCTTAAATTTGTAACAAACCACCAAATTAGCAGTACATTCAGGACGATTTCTTTCTATTACTACGCGTTCCATGTTAAGAGTTTTTCTGCTTGTGGTCACTAAATAATTGGATTTTTTTTAAGCTGATCATAATTTAATTTAAATCGTCACACTTTCCTCGCCCAAATCTATTTTACGATGAATCCTTAATTGACTGTTTTGCTTTTTATAAATATTCTAATTTTGTATGCATTTTTTTTACATGATATTTTCTCCTACACGCACATTTCTAAGGTACATTTTGTATAGTATTTCTGAGTAACCAGTCATTTCAAGTCTTTTCATACCGCATCCATAATAATACACCCGCACCCATACTTTTTTTTCTCTCTAAAAACCACCCAGAAGAAGAACAAATTTGTATCTTTTTATGTAAATATTTTAGGAAGGAATACTTTCTTAAGGTTCATTTTCATTTTCATCAAAAATCTTTTCAAAACGAGGAGCATTCTCAAATAGAAAAAAAAACATTTCTTAAAAAGTTACATACATATTTTTAGCGATAAACAATTTATGTAAATATCCTCTTGGAATTATATATACGCTTCAGAAATAATTAGTTAGCAGCCCACCATTACAAACTTATCGTTTCATTTCCGAGCAAAAAAAAACTTTTCAGAAATTCCCGAGCTTTTTTAAATCTTAGATAAATACTTGCAAAAAAAGTTACGTATGTATTTATTTATATAACAAATTTCATTTTTCGCTTCAAAAAATTGATAATTCTCACCGGAAAAAAGTGGAAATTCTTAATAGAATAATGTATAATATTTAATAATAAAAACTGATTCTATGTATTTACCAGCAGCGTAACGAAATATTTACGTAACTAAAGTTCATCTCTCTCTTCTCTTAACAATCATCGGATTTCAGGTACATTAATTAACAGTAGATACATATTTAGATACATAGATGTGGATGTGTGATAACAATATGTTGTAAATTATCAATTTCTTTCTTTAAAACAACAAGTCTGATGAGGACGAAACTACATATTTTTATATTTCTAAAGTTATTTATATCATATCATATCGCGCGTGGTGATGAGGATCTTGACGGGGATTGCTTTGCTTTGCTTTCATTTCCGGTTTCCATCTTTTCGTGGCAGGTTTACTTACTTATTTAAAAATCTAGAGAAAGTGTGGGTGTTCTAAATTAAATATTTTTATGTTATCTTCTATGTTTTTACGGAGAGATAGAATGAGTCGTTTCTTCTTCTTCTGTTTTGTTTTTTTTGTTGGTGGGAGGAGGAGGAGGAATATTTCCAAAATTATGTATGCGCTTATCGCGCTTCGTGGCGGCGTAATAGCTGCTTCTTTAAAGAGTGAAGTTCTGCCTCCATCGTGTTCACTTTACGTTGTAGGTCGGTAGCTCCCGTCTGGAATTAGGGGACAACATGGATTAAATTTATATTCGAGGTATTCATTCACCAAGGTTTTGGTAACATTGTAAAATTTGTAAATTCTGGAAACTTGCAGAATTTTAAAAATATTTCGAAAGGGAAATAATAGCTCACAAATTTTTGTAAGCTTGGTGAGATCAAGGGGATCTCTTTGTTTTGTAAAAGTATGATGCAAAAACGCCCGGATTTTACAAAATTACCAATAACTGCATGAATTGCTTCAGAATATGGAAATATGTATGTGTAGTTTTTTGGTAATATTGTAGTATCTGTAAACTTTTACAAAATTGTACTCATTTTTCGAAAGGGAAATTAATTTTCAAATTTTATAAGCTTGTTCAGATCAAGGGCGTTTATTCCTTATGTAAAATTATTTTACGAAATTTACAAACTTTACAAAGTTACCAAGGACTGCGTGAATTTTTCAGGATTTTTTTTTGTTTCCCACCACCATCATACATACCTGATGATGATTGGGTTCTGACCTTCGCAACTGCTGGTCTTGACTTTTACAGATCTTTTCTAAACTTGAGATTTTTCCTGTTAATTTATCCAAAAGCTTGATCACCGGTTCCGCACCATCGCTCCCAAGTTGGGACAGCAACATCTTCTTCACAGCCTCCGTCTCGTTCACGTCTACAACAAAGATAAAATACTTTAATTCACGAGAAAAAAGGGCAGAAGCTAATTTATCAAAATTCTCAAAGTCACGATTTCACGACACCATAAATTTCATATCGTGGTCTGGACGTCAAAAAAATGATGCACCATTCATGGCTTTTCACTCACAAAATCATGACCACGACGACCAAAAACGTCTACTGCAGCAAGTTCGTAACCTGTTATCGGTCAAACTATTGCCCCCCCAGCCCCAAAATCCATACGAGGTACAAATTCGTTGCAATGGACAGACCGTGGTTTCGACCAAGTCTGCCGACGCATGGCGAGTGTTTCGTTTCTCGCATTTTTGCTAGATTTCTTGCACTAAAAAAGCAAACACCGCAAGAAATGCGAGGTGCACAAAACTGCAAGAAATGTGCGCCATCTAGCCACGTGAAGTATAAACTATTTAGAGCGACAGGGCATAGTTTTTCGCGTCTTGCATTTCTCCCAGGTCGAAATATTTCCCTGCAAAAAACCACTTTCTTTCCCCCGTTATTTCTTGCACGTGGTTTATTACTTTCAGCCGAAACACTGCGTAAGGCACGCTTTTAACCTAACAGCTTTTGTCGTGTCGGTATGTTTATCTGGATAAAATCTGCTCTTGACAAGGCACCCACGCACCTTCTCAATATTACATTTCCTAACGAAAAAAAACATGAACTTTACCCTCTCCAAAAAGTGTGGAGAGTAAGGAACCTTCAAAAACAATCATATTACGAGTTTGGCATTTCGAAAACAACTCTCATACATAATCTGCATACCGCAAAACAGACGCGTACTGCATACATCAGTGGCCGCGGAAGCCGTGGGGACATTAATATTGCACTCAAAATAAGGTAGTAATGAATCATTACCATGCGGAATGACTATGTGGCTCTACCATGTCGGTTACGATTTGTCGTAGAAATGGTAATAATAAGTTCAGGGAAATTCAAATTTAATACATAATGGTATTCAATTCCTTAATATTTGGTAATGAATTTGAATTTCCCTGAACTTATTATTACCATTTCTACGACAAATCGTAACCGACATGGTAGAGCCACATAGTCATTCCGCATGGTAATGATTCATTACTACCTTATTTTGAGTGTGTAGGATAGGGGAGGAACTAGTTTATAAAAGATGGGGAGATGATGCAGACATCAAATAACCGTGGGGACATTGCCCCTCTGTCCACACCCACGCTTCCGCGGCCACTGGCACTCATACATACATACATTTTAAACTTTCCTTCCTCTACATATGCATAAAATCCATACATTCAAACTTTTGTATCCACCACCAGGAGGAAAAAAAAATTCTGCACGATTTCTGTCAGTTTGGAATTGTTTTGTGTGAATGACGGATAATATAATTTTCTCCTCTGCCAGCCAAAGGTCTCCACGTGTTTGCCGGTTAAAGACACTCCACGAATGACACCTCCTTCACACATTTTGCGCCGTAATGAACGTAAAAACGCCAACTTTTCCTTAATTGCTCAAGCCCAAAGTTTAAACGAACGAAGGCTGGAATGTGAAGCTAGTGTCACTATTGGAATTTTTGGAAATGATTGCGATTATTATTATGCAGTAAACACATGGAGTCAAAAGTCAACCAACCCAAGAAGTGAAATAATGCAACAAAGTATGTAGAAGATACAAAAAAGCACATTTTTTTACTCATGTGCTCATTAATCTTTTACGCAAAGTATGACATTGACAGGTATGTATGTATGTACGGATAAAATTATTTAGTAGCAGTGGGAGTAGCAGATAGTAGTAGAGTGGTAATTGTGACGATGTCCACGTGTTGGAAATAAAGCGTTTAAAATGGGAAATAATGCAGGGAACTTATTTGCATGTCTAAAATGCGGGGAATTTATTTTTATACCCATAATTAAATGGATTAAATTAATGCAAAAACAAATATTTTCATGCTTAAAATGCTGGGAACTTATTTTATGTCGTCCAAAATGTCAAAGATTTATGCCTAAAATGCCGGGAACTTATTTTCATGTCTAAAATGCCGGGAACTTATTTTCATGTCTAAAATTCCGGGAACTTATTTTCACGTCTAAAATGCAGGGAACTTATTTTCGTGCCGAAAATTCCATCGATTTATTTTCATGTCTAAAATCCGGGAATTTATTTAAATATTTTTATGCCCAAAATGTCACGAATTTAAATATTTTCATACTCAAAATGTCACGAATTTAAATATTTTGGTGCCCAAAATGCCACAAATTCATTCTCATGCCAAAAATTCCTACCATTTATTTCCACGCCCTGCCCATCGTACAACTCTACCCGTACATAAGTAAGTGCTGCTGCTAACTAAATAAAACGCACGTCTGTTTGCATCGTTTAGAAAAAATTACACGGCTGCTTTAAAAAAAATTCTTAAAATTCTATTCTGACGTCTTTTTCCATTGTGTATTTATAATGAGGGCAAAACAACCTTCTCGTAATAACGATGCAGGCAGCCAAACGCATAAAAACTGGACCACATGCATTAACATGGCCATAACCATAACTTGCACTAATTTAAATTTCTGATTGGCCAGACAGATAAGCGCATTTTTATTATTTCGCAAAAGGATCAGACTACACAATGTAACACATTAGTTTTCAGCCTGCACATGCAAAATCTTGTTGTTGTCCTGTACCGCTAAATGGATCACTCGTTATTCAAATTCAACAGATTTGCATATTTGAAGATTTGGATTAAGTGCTTTACATCTCGACTAATCTTAATCTTAAAATATGACGGAGAAGAAGGGGCAAAAAAACGAGTCAAAGGTGGGCGATTGAGATCGATCTAATCCTCCGACCGTCACGCTTTTGTTGCTGGGTGTCAATTACAAAATGGAAATTACATTTTTTCTCTTTCTTTCTTTCTGAATGCCAAACTAGATTTCCAAAGATAACAATAAATATGATTGACCTTTAGAGATCAAATTCGTCAAAGAGTCAGATATGTAATCGGGGTTTTCACGATCTTCGTAACTATACATTCGTAAAAAAATATATTCGTAAAAATATATTTACAAAAGGTTGACATGAAAGGTATTCGTAAATAAAATCGTAAATAAAAGATCAATTTGTCTCTACGCAATAGCATCTCGGAAACTTTGGTGCTCGAAATTTCCCGACTTTTAATTCGCACGAAATAAGTTCATGAAAGGAAAAGACCTATCAATAACCTTGCCTATATTTACGAAGCTTTGTAAGTATGGAATTTTCGCAAATGTCGCAAATAGCGTACATTTGTGGCGTTTACGACAGTTACGAAGGTGACGTGAAACCCCTCCTGACTTCTTGACTTTTAGTTCCTACGAAATATGTTTACGAAAATAAAAGACACATCAACCTTGCCCATATTTACGAAGTTTCGTAAACACGGATTTTTCGTAAATAGCGTAAATTTACAAGAGTTATAAAGGCGATGTGAAAACCCCCAATATTCACTCTTTTGTGAGATGAACAAAACGATTTCGTTCATTGAACTTACGATTTTGATCGTTGTTGTTGTCCGAGTATTGAATATTGTAGGATGAGGAGAGTCTCTTTTTTGGCAAGTAGAGAGCAGCCGGGTCGGTGGGGACGTTTGTAGGGGACGTGATGAGAGGCGTCTCCACCCCGGAACTGTAACGAACCCGCTTTATCACCAAATGCTCGTCCCCATTCCAGCCCCCGTACGACTCCTCGCACGACGACGAGGCTGCCGACTCCTGAAAATTCATAAAAATGACACATTTTAATTTGCATGTCAAGTTGAGGTGATTTTTCGAAAAATTTGATTGAATCTGGTCATGTGGATAGTTTCGAGTGGTGCTGGCGCAAGGGTGGAACGTGCGAAAAAGATTCGCGAAATTGTTAATACAAACAATTTTGAAAATAAATAAATTTCTACATTTTGATTTTGCAAGATTTTTAAGTTTCCCAAGATTTTTAAAATTTCGAAAGATTTGAAACTTCCTAAGAATTATAATCACAAAATTTGCAATTCTTTAAGAATTTAAATCCCCCAAAGATTTCTAGTTCGCGAAGAATTTAAATTTTCCAAGATTTAAATTCCCCAAGAATTTCGCAAATTTTTTGAATTCTTCAACATTAAAATTCCAGAATTTAAATTCCCCAAAGATTTCTAGTTGACTAAGATTTAAAATTTTCAAAGATTTGTAATCCCTCAAGATTTTTGATTCTCGCAGATTTTAAATTCCCTAAATTTTTCAGAGTAGTTCCCCAAGATTCTTATTAATTAACATATCGCGTCATCATTCTCATTTTTTTTCACCCCAAGTTATGCAACCTGCGAATTACGCAAGATCATTAAATATCTCGTCTGCCTTCCTCCGTCCGTCCGTCTCTAAATAAAATGGCGTGCCGTAATAATTACCCACATAAAGAGGCTGACTTGTTATACTACCACGGACGGAAGAAGAAGAAACTATTTACTGGGCGGAAATTGATGAAGTAGTTAACAAACACTTTTTCAAAATTATTTCATTTTACGGCTTGCCTTCGCTAAAATCATTAAGTGCATGCGAACAATAAAATAGGCGAGAGACGTCCCAGGATATTTTTTCCAAAATCGTGCCAATCAGTGTTTCGGGTGCAAATAAGTAACCACGTGCAAGAAAGTGGTTTTTTTGCAGGGAAATATTTTGACCTGCAAGAAATGCAAGGCGCAAGAAACTACGCCCCTCCGTTATAAATAGTTCATACAGCGCGTGGCTAGATGGCGCATACTTCTTGCATACCTGTTCACTTTCATTCATTTGAGTATCCAATTATAATAGTGAATGAAAATGAATTTCCTATTATTTGAGTAAAAATGACTGAAGGATTCTGTCATCTCAGATGAATGACTGTGAATGAAAGGATTTCTCACTCATTTCATTTTTCACCCTATGCTTAATACATGGGATGAAGTAAGAAATGAAGTCGGATGAAGTGAAATGAAATGAATTTGAACAAAAATGACTGAATGTGAATGAAAATCTTCGGTCAGAAATCGGGTTGACTGACTTTTGAATGAATACTAAATTTTTGAACAGGCATGATTTCTTGCACATTCACCCAGTTTCTTGCACCTCGCATTTTACTGCAAGAAATGTGACAAACCCGCCAGAAACGAAACACTTGCAGCAGCAACAGTCGAAATGCACCCATAAATTTCCTCCTTTTACAAAACCAAGCTCATCGTCGTAAAAGTCACATAAAACTTTTTTTTGCAAGTCTACACACATCGGATTTTGGGCTGAATGACGTGGACGCGGTGGTCGAGTCGAGGCTGCTGCCATTAAAGTCTGCATGGACGGGAAGGAAATGCAACAAAGCAAGGAGTCAAATGTCAGTGCACTAAAATGAAAACTTCTTAAGTGCAACAGAATAAAAGTTGCACGGGAGGAGAGTTGTAAAATAAACGTATAAATCAATCCAATTCTATAAAGTCTGACCCCACAAAGGCTCCTTTTTTTATTTTTGGGCTACAATTTTGTGCAATATTTCCATTTTATTATCCAGTGCAATTTAAAGTTTTAGAAAATCTCGTAGATTTCAAATTATTTATGGTTTTGCGAAATATTTCGATTTTACAGTACAATTTACATTATTTGGAAATTATTTTGCGCAATATTTCCATTTTAGTTCGCCCAATACTGATATTTCCATTTTATTTAGAAACATATTTCAATTTCCCACTGTAATTTAAACGTTATAAGATTTTAAAATATTTATTTACTATTTTGTGCAATATTTCCATCTTCCAGTGCAACTTAAACTGTTCCAAATTTCGCAGATTGCAAATTATTTACTACTTTGCGCAATACTTCCAGACGGTTACAAAATTTCACAGAAATCAAAATAATCAATTACTTTTGCGCAATAATTTTCATTTTCTAGTTACAATTTCCCAGAATGTAAATCATTTACTATTTTTGCGCAATATTTCCATTCCATTATTTCCCTTACAATTTAATCTGTTCCAAAATTCCCCGAAAATTTCAAAGCCAAGCTTTCTTTCATCCATCCTTCATTAGCCAAATGAGCTCGTTTCAATCGAACTTTTACATATGTATTTTCCACAGAAAACTTTCACCTCGAGCAATAATCACACAAAGTTCACAACTCATCAGGAAAAATTAAACTGGTTGCTTCGTCTCCTTGATTGCTCAAAGCTCGGAGAGTAAATTGACAAATTGTTGAATTATGGATCCACACCAGAACAGCACGGCTAATAAATGAGACGTTTCTTTCTGCCAATTGGGAACAACGACGTACAATAATAATGATCACAATTTATGACAATTTTGGACAGGAACGACGACGCCACGGGGTCAATTCCCCGATGTACATGGACAGCTTTCATCAGTGGCCTCGGAAGGGTGTGGGGGACAGAGGGGCAATATCCCCAAGGTTGTTCGATGTCACCCTCATCTGCTCATGTTATATGAACCCCTCCCTCCCCTATAATGTCCCCCGATGTCCCCACGGCTTCCGTGGCCACTGGGAAAATTCAGGCTACTCAAATTTATGAACATGATGCAGTGGCTGCGGAAGTGTGGGGACAGAGGGACAATGTCCCCCAGGTTATTAGATGTCCCCATCTTATATAAAGCCATCCCTCCCCCATAATGTCCCCCGATGTCCCCACGGCTTCCGCGGCCACTGGCTTTCATGACTAAATGTATTGATTCCATGCGGCACAATCTGGTTGAAACCTGTCCTCCTCGTCGTCGCCATACCCATTTCCAAAATTAGCAGGACAAAGAAGGACGAAATTTCGGGTTTCAATGTTTCACAGGCACGCACACCACGACAGAGAAAGCAAATCCCTTTTCGGTTTTGAATATCACAACAATACAGAAATTCAGACTGGAAATACATAAACCGTTGCAAACCAAATGTAGCTAAAGGGTGAAACCAAGTGAGATATCCGCAACAATAATTCTATTGTATGTTAAAAGTAGATATTATTATTATTAAAAGTAGAAGCACATTTGTGAAAACAGCACCCCGAAATTCGAAACTTAAACGGACCGACAGACAGACAAGGCATTCCTATAAAGTGACTTCTTCACAAATAACTCTGCCAGCTCATCAGACACCCCTACGTCAACAAGGAAATCGTTCTTGTCCGACAGACAACGGTTTGTTCAAGGAAGTGGATGGATGGATTGGGAGAAAGTACACGCGTAATCTCTGATTCTACCACCCACCCGCCTTAGCGATGGACACAGTGACCGCGGAAGCGTGCGTGGGGACAGAGGGGCAGGTGATACCCCCAAATCCCCACAGTTATTCGATATCCCCCCATCATGTCCCCATCTTTTCCTCCTCCAATCCCACAATGTTCATGTCCCCAGAAGTCCCCCAACTTCCGCGGCCACTGACTATCTCCTTCTCCGCTGGCTATGCATACAAACCCGGAACTTTCATCCATCCATGATGATGATAACATTTAGTAAATATTTGTTCACTCCGCAATCCCTCAATCTCCATAATCCCTCCCAGCACAAATCTGACAAGTAAGTAGTCCTGCATATTCCAAATCATCACACTTGTAGAATTCCTCCCTCGGCGTCACCATTCTTCTTCTCCCCTTCATCCTTCCTTCATCACACATTCAAAAAATCACAACATGTCAAATCATAATATTCGTCTCGGAATTTTAAACCAAAAACAAAATTACCAAGTCTAATTTTCTCAGAAACAAGAAAAAAAAACTTTGCGGATTTCCAAAATGGACACGAAAAGAATAGAAAGGTATTTATGAATGAATTTTTTGTCATAAATAACATTACATTTTTCCATTTTGAATTGGAGATCTTTGTCTATTTACTTATTATAATGCGACATGAAAAATATGTATCGTCTTCCCATTTCCTGCCCTACTTTGTATTTTGTACCCAAAAACGACGTCGAATTCGAGGAAGTGAGACGACGCCTGAGACGAGGACGACAACACACCTGGAATCATGAATGAATTCAAACCTCCAGAGACACGTGAATATGTATGTATCGCTTATCATCAGCACTGTATAAATTTCGAATTCTGCTGCTTCTAAATACAATTTTTTCCAAGAATTGGATATGCACACACTACACACGGAAAGGAAAACGTGTTGCACATTTGTACATATATCTAAAGCTATATTTTATTTGTTAAAATTGGCATTTTTATGAAAACATCGCACTTTTAACGAGCACTGCAGTTTTTGGACGTCACTGAGGATGAGAAATAAAACTTATATATGCAGTTTTCCCGTGTTTGATGCACATTTCATAATAAAATGTGTATAAAACGGCACTAAAATTGCAAAATGTGAACAAGTTACGTACATATGTACGTATCGAATTAAGTGCAATTTAAGTCTATAATTTCTTTATACAGTTACAGCGAATAAAATTGTACCCAAATTGCAAAATAAAAAAACTCTATGAAATCATCAATAAGTTGCAAAACGTGGACAAATCATGAATACAATTTCTTTATACAGTTACAGCGAAAACCAGACTATAAAATTGCACATGCACAATTGCAAAATAATTCCAAGAAATTAATGCACTTCTTACCTTACCATACCACTTATCACCCTTGATTATTATGATTATTCTAATTTAAATAAATATTCATAGATATCCCTACTGAAACCGGAACCCTATAAAAATTAGCATGCCACCGAAACCATCAAACTTACTATTTTGACATGTCAACAATTTAAAA